CAATTCACTCACATTTTCACGTTCATTCGCTGGCAATCGATTGATACTAAGGTCTGAATCTGCTTTTATCAGAATCTGAAGCATTGATAATTGTGACTGAAAACGAGTTAACATTCGAAATAAGCGAACAGATAAGTAAATTAACTGACGTGTGACTGAGTGGTATCATCGTTGTTATTCACCTTGATCGCTTTTATTTTATCTTTTCTTCTCGATCTTCTCGAATGAGTTTTATTATTATTATTATTATTATTATTATTATTGTTATTATTACGTTTATTATTACTGCTACCAGCAACTTCAATATTTTTATCTGCGTTCGGATCAGTTGCAGCTGTGATTATTTCATCTAAATCTCTCAGTACGTCGTACAATACTTTTGGTGATACCTGCAAAGGGTACTTATGATANTAATAGACCACTGAGCGATTGGTTTGGCGATCGCTCTGCAAGATCGGCAAGATGTTTATCGTTATTGCGATTATTTAATGGATTGGTTGTGGTTAATTATGGGAATTATTTATAGCAACGGGCGTTTATTATTGCTCGGTTGAACGCCTACAGGCACGGATTTGTTCGGTTGGATTATCGGCTGTGTTCATGAAGATGAGTGCTTTTGGTGATGTCTAAGTGGAACAGTAATGAATGCTCACGTCGAATTGATCAGCAACGATATGCAACAGTTCAGTGATGGACATCCTGGTTCCTCCAAACCACACCTCTACATTAGCCGCACCACTGAAATTACGTCCCAAGTAATGTAATCGCCGTAAATAATTATACAACGCTGCTACAAATGTCGACATTATGACCTTAAATTTAGCTGTATGAACTAATGAAGCAATATAGTTGAGTAGTAACAAATAGATGAATAATGATCAAACGAATACCATTCCGATCGACAAGTAACAAATGATAATGAACGTTTGAAAGGCACTACTCGGAGTCGGTGTTATATCGCCGTATCCAATCGTCGTTATTGACACAAAACTTAAATTTGATTCATTAATATCATCATCACTACAATTAAAAGCACTCACCTGAAATAAATGGCTGGAATGATGGGCATATGATCGATCCACAGATGGAATAATACACCGCCGATCATCGAATGTGTCAACAATAGACCCACAACCACCCCTACTGGTAATCTTCGTTCATCAGCAGCAACTACGTTCTCAATTCATTTTGTTTAAAACAACACTAATTAATTAACAACAATAATAACATAATGCTAATGATAATTACCTGTGTTCTTGATAGAGAAGCCAGGAAGATCCAGTATCCTTCAGCAATAAACTGACCGATGTTGGTCAGTGACAAGAACAGTAAAGG